AAAGCAACTGACGACGTTCATCAAACGTGCAAACCTATTCAGAATACATATCTTCTCGTAGGTGATTTTAGACCTGCAGTTTATGATTAGTCCGGTTATTCAGGCCTAACTAATATCTTTCCTAATAATCGTTTCAGGTTTGCCCATTTCCAAAGTGAGTTATGCTGTTTTTGGAATCTTAACGTATCTCCGCAAACTAAGGAGCTATTTTAAATTTTCCATGTTTATCTGCTTGTAAAAGCGTGTGCTTTGAAGGTCGAGTATGGGTTACTTTTGAATTTTCCCTCTGCCTTATGCGATGCAATGGCACTGAAGAACTTGAGTTCAGTAATTTTTTTGTTGGCTATCTATTTCGAAGTATGTTCATCACTTGGGAATAACAGCATCTTAATAAATAATGTTTGCATTGAGTACCGTAAAAACGTGTCGATATACGTTAAGAATATAATATACAATATGTCAACCAAAACAGCACCCGTTTCCTTTTGTGGTTGGTGTAGTGAAACTGTGTATAAACTAAAGAAAGTCATAGAAGAGCAAGAGGCTTATAGTGCGAATGGCGAGGCATGTGTTGATCTCTTGGCGAATACAGAAAGGGTGAGTAATTTCGAGGTTTGCACTTCGAATCTGGGTAAAGTTATTAATTTTCGGTTGTTCATTTGTCTTTTAGAAACAAATGATAGGTCTTTGGAGTGATAATATTCTAAAATGCTGATCTCGGAAATCCCAGTAAAACCATCAATGTGAAAAGCCTATATCACAATCCCGTCTGTAATTGCTTTGTCTGCATCTTTTTGAGTAGGACTATATTTGTAGGCTGTTTAGAAACTAAAGGGTCTAGAATTTTATCAAGCGGCAGAACTGAATTATGGATGAACCAATGAAATTAAGGATAACAAGTCCTGAATTTGGACGCAAAATACATTCACCCATGTATTAAAATGGTATTTTGCGACTATAGGTTGTGTCAGTTCGTGACGAGAATTCTTACTGTAGTTCATAGTCGTAAATGTCACGATGAGTTGTACATAAATTATAATCCCGCTCATGCTTATGATCCTAATAGGATGGGACAAAAGTAATGTGTTTTACATGACCCATCAACACTTCTAGTGATGTTTATTTCCGTTAACGAAAAGAAGAACTTAGGAATATTGCTTTTAGAAAACGACCACTATCCTTTTCTTCATAGCTTTCTAGTGATAAAGACTAGGTATAAGAACCTCTGAGTTTTCATAGACATGCGTCTCCCGACGGAACAGCCATTAATGACTGTTCCCCAACAATTGTCCTTTCAGCCCGACTGATAAATAACTGAGACGAATTTTGTATGTCTTTCAGGCTTCACACGAAAAACATACTTTTAAGGTGTATGTATAACGAGCTTATTAACTACTGCATGTGCATATTCAACAACACGAGTGTACTTGTAGTACATTATTGCTTATTAAAAACGTCTAAAAAAGATCTTCAGCATTGTTATTGGCTAACGGTACACAATGCAATCTATTTATCAACATGACAATCCACAATATAAAGAGGGAGGATTTCAATCTGTAGTCGCATTGGTATCTTTTTTGGGTGTAATAAATCAACGTTCAACAATTACCTACTACCTTAAAGGTTGAATGTAATTGAAGTAGGGCGATAGCAAACTCAGTAACATTTTTCTCAAACATAGCTTTAAACCACAAAGTTAACGACGGTTGCGCGATAATTATACAGATATTAAAGCATTTATGTGAATAACGTTATCCCTTTTACTTGAAAGGCAAAAATGTCAGGAATTCATGTTGCATGTGCGTATGATTTTGTTTGCAGATTTCTTACTATTATGGTATCACTATTCGGTTTCAGGGTACAATAGATTCTATCGACTTCATTTTCGATAAATGGAATCGTTCCTTCTGCTCCCATTGTCTTGAAGAAGTTTATTCCGATCAAAGCATTAGTATATCAGCGGATTCTTTCAATAACATAGAACGACCTAGACGCCTTCTACATACGGATTCTCTATACAACTTGCAAGTCTACAGTAAAAACGTGCGTACATTCTTCGAAAAGCTTGATGATGCTTTAAGTTGTTTCATGCAGTTCATCAATAATCCCAACATATCTATTCTCAATGTATTAAATTTCCCCTCGTCTAGCACCTTAAATATCAGTTCGACGGTTTGTCGAAATTGTTCAGCAGCGTATTATAGTCTCCTAGATTACTACACTAATAATCTCCTAAGATATAACTCTCTAGAAGGAGGGAATCAAAAATTCCTTGTAAAAGAACGCTCTGGTCATCGTTTCGCCGTATGTTTGGACGTACAAAATGCCATAAATCGCACACAATGGGCTTGGTACAACTTATTTCGGTGCCGAACGGAGGAAGTTAGTCATATTGGCTTCTTATTACCATTGATAGTTTGTGTCACATTCCTCGTAGTTTTCCATTGTCTTGCCCAATCAGTATGTCGTTATCCCGCCCATATGCTGGTGTACAGGCCAAAACGTGTTGAACCTACTGTTAGATGCCAACGAATTCTTAGCACAGCCTCGATTTCGCGTGGGCAAATGCCATTAGTCCGGTCTTATGGGAGCATTGGATCTGTGGAAGATAACACAATAGATTCTAACCTAATTGCAAAGACATACTCACAATCTGATTCACTATTTGACAATCGCACAGTGGTAATCCGAACATAATCCAGAGACTAACAGCATATTGCTTATTAGATAAAACAAGCTAGGTGTCTTTCACAATGATTTCATATTTGTCTATATTTTTGCACAATCAAGAAAATGTCCAACCGTATAATCCACTTTTATTGTTTGTCATCCTAATTATTTTCTTGAATGATAACTGAAGATTTGTTTCTACGTGATTTATCACCTCGTCTCAATAAAATGGTGTATGAGAAAAAAGACTTTATCTCGTATTAAATGGGGGATTCGATATGTTCTATGTACCAAATCACATCCATAGTGAGATCACACACAGGAAGCAGTAAACCAGCGGATTTTCACCTACTCCTGTACATTATGTTGCTAGCTTAGTTTTCATCGGATAGCAAATTAATTAGGGCTATATAAGAAGACTGAACATTTCCTGATTTCACAATGATAAATGTATTTCCACTCTGTAAGTACTTTGAAAATGTCAAAAAATAGGCGTCGTACTCCAAACAAATTTATTATGTCCTAACGGTAAAAGAGCCTTCTTAAATGTCGGTTCTAGCTCAATATCTTTTTCCTAATCATAGTAATTTTTTACACTTTCAACTGTTGTGTAACTTCGCCGTCAGGACACATTGTAAAATAACCTAAAATTCGAATTATTTGCATTCAAATATCTTTTTGACAAACATTAGTGATGAATGTTTATGTTCTCTCTGTAGGACAAAACCTCACTGTTTAAGCAATTGTTGTAATTCTAATCTTTTAGGGATTAGTCAGATCGAGGTTCTGACCTGTAGTTGACTACTATAGACGAAAAATGATGAAATAAACCTGCTTGGTTTAATTTGTATATATTCATCGGATTAACTGCGTCAATAAATAACAGAATAACATAAAATGCGAGTTTTTGGATGCATGTATTTCACTCAGCCATAAATCAGAGACACAAGGCAAAACATGTCTACCCAAAATATTACTTATTACAAGCGTAAATGTAGGTCGTGATAATGAATAATCCGAGAAAGAAGATGGATGTCGGGTTAGATAATGATTATATAGATACTTACACTTAGGACACATAAGCATATAGCTGACAAGGATATGAACAAAAGAGGTGCATGTGTCGAAGGTCGTAGCTGCTTACAAAGGAAACAGGGCTATTGGGAACGTAAAAGTGACTCACTAGCCACAAGCTGATTGAACTATGAAAGTTTGTCCAAAATTTATGTATTACGGTAGAACAACCATAAGTTCTTATGACAAGAAGATTCACTAATCTCTAGTTTTGTCTCTTCACTTAAATTGTCTTACTACAAGTACAACGTGCTGTGAAAAATCGAGAGAAACAGGTCATTATGATATCATACTTTTTGGCTGATTCCTTGTAAATGACAATACTTCATTGGTGAAGATATTATTGTTATAAAGAAATGTTCTTACATCTGTCTAAAATTTGTGGTGGAAATCAGACCTTGCTTTAACAGTTGGAAACCCTACACAAGCCCCCATCGTCCAAGATCAGTATTCTGAATTTGGTCATATTATTTGGCTTGCTGGTTTCATTTTACGTTGAACAATTTTCCATCACCATGTAGTTTATAATTGTCCACACAATTAGTGTGTTAATTGCTGTTGAACTCAGACAGACCTTGCGACTACACGTTACTTGTACAGATGATCCTATTAAGATGACTAGCACTGAGGTCTCATTAACGATATTCTTAGCCTTTCAAGATATCAAGTTGGATACAAATGATTGTATCTAGCTCCATCAACACACTACATCTATTTGACTATTGATTCGTTTAGCTGAGGCCAATGCGCAATCGCAGACTAAATTGGGGTTAACGTTATTGTACAAAACTTCGGCTAGATAAAACTGACTGGGAATTTTCCAACTAATTTATCACCAAGTAGTTTTGAGTTATCCGCTATTTCAGTAAGAGTGCAGCCTGTTTGTCGAGATCCTTAAAGACATATAATTACTAAAGACACTTATTTACATCGTGCAGTTACTTTATTCTAATCTTAGGGCCTGAAAAAACAAATGCAGAAGGATACTGACCTTTTTAGGATGAGTTAAAACATAAAATAATGGATAAATGAAACCAAATAAAATCTAGATATAGCTAAAATGAAGGCGATTGCATAGCTAAAACAACCTGACATCTTCATTTAATGTGTTTAGTTCATTCATCCTGATAGTTCACCGTTTCTCACAAGATCTTTAAATAACTACTCGAAAGTTTACTGCGTTTGGTTTACTATGTGCATCTTAAGCAAAAGCTAATTACAATATAAAATGGATTTGCTTTTAACCAACACAAATATAGAAAGTAACATTTTTTATATTATACCAAAAGTGGAAACCGAAACAGTGAAGTTAATTTCCCAATAATTTGTCAAAGTAGAACCTGTCGTATAAATTTAATCATTTTTTCTTGAAGCGTTACATTCTGATAAGCAAACCAGAGCTAGTTTGAATCCTGTACAAGAGTGAATACCAATAGGAGCAAAAACAGATTGCTGGTATGACAAAAAGTATATGTTTGTGAAAGCAAACTACACAACAATATTCGTGAAATCGACATCCGAGTATTTTTAAAATAATAGTAATAATACAAAGTTTCCCCATAATAACATGTTCAAAACTTTTGCGAATTACACAACGTTATTACTGAATGAAAGTAGACTTACTCCGTCCAGATAAATACATCCAACTGAATGCAGAAAGTTTATCTACAAAAACGACTGGATGCTGACTTAGTGGTTTGAAGATTAGGCGTTTGCTGCTAGGTTTGAACGTCCTAAATTTAGTCTTAGATGCGCTTGAGGGTACCCACCGTTGAGAAATCCCATATGGAGACAAAAACAGCTATTTGGTGCTTCCTGTTAGTCAATAACTGGTTGGCTAAGGTTATTTCGTAGTATAATGCATATCCTACTAAGTAAGAGACATGTGGCTGGTTAGATAAGATACGAGCACTTAAACGACTAAGCCATAATAGGCAGGGAAGTAATCTAATGTTTTAAACTATCTTACATGAAACCACCAGTTTCCCTTGTTTTACTCATAGAGATAATGGACAACGCGTTCCATCCAATATATGGGGACTCTGATTCAAATATGAAAATAGAAACACTGATCATGAGAGTTAATCCATTTCTTGAAATATGTACACTTTTACAGAGTTGCAATCTAAGAACTGAGTGTAAGCGCGACAACTTGGAGTTTCTGACCAACTACTTATTTACTAGTAATAGTTGTTGACGTCTAAAATGATTACTTTTTAACTGCTTTAATATCACTCATTAATACCAGCGTAAAAGAGCTAGGTCAGAGACAATGTTACATCTGGTATTGTCATTTCTATAATGAGTTGAACTATCTTATTTATCGATTTTGTGGGTATGAATACTTATCAGGAAGCAAAACTTCTATAACGTTTGATTAAACATACCAATTTATGTGCAAGTAAATAGGAAGACGACGGACTTACGAATTCAAAGTTCCAGCTCCTAAATGAGCGAGTAAGTGATACATATGACCTAGATAAGCACCTTTACCCAGGTTTCGATGAAAAATCTCCTGAAGAAAAGTGTATGAAATAAACATTAGATATATAGTGCGTAATAATTCAATAAATTGAAGCATTGATGAAAATAATGGGAAGATTAGTTTGCACCACGAGTATGCTTTTTGAACACAATTAGTACTTGATATCCAATCTAAATGATTGTGTCAACAGATGTAGTGTTTAGCAATGAGAAATACTCATCTTTTAAGATAAAAAACATTACTTTCAAAAACTGCCTTGCAAAGAGATATATAGTATCGACTACCAGCTAGACAAAAGCCGTTTGAGGAATTAACTACGACAAACTGCTAACAATTTAATATTAGTAGAGATGTTCCATCGACTATGTTATCGAATGTAGCTAAATCTTTATTATGTGCGTTTATAGTCAGAAGTATAGGTTTAATAAGTGCTTTCAGAGTGAGTGTCGTTAGTGTAGTTAATTCGAAATACGAACCACTTCTAGAAGAGTAGTTTTTCCGATTTCACTAATGCGCACTTGCGTGTAATTCAGTAAAAAAAATTGAGGTAACTTGGCAAAATAAATAAGTGACTTTCAAATATCGTCGGAAGAAACTAGTAAATGAACTTCCAGACTGTCGAGTGAAGCAACAGATTTCACAAGTTGAAATTATTAGTTATGGATATTATGTTGCTGAAACGTATGTAATATTTCATCGTCGTTATTTTTTGAATGTCACGCACCTATTTATAGTACCTGTTTATTATGATAATGTGGTCTCTTTTACTAAGTACATCCATGGTTGAAATTTGAGATTTTTTTAATTGGAAGAAAGTTATATGCTCACTTTAAGATGAACGGTAGTTGTGGGAAGAAAACTTTAGACGTTAGTCTTCCACTTTTATCCCTAAGAAAAACCAGAACCATAAACAAGGAAACTAACTATATACTGGTTTAAGCATAAATGGTATGACAAACAAGTATATTAAATGAAGGTGACCCCTCACGTAAATCAAATGGGAAATTTGAAAATGAGAAAGTAATGTGTGGTTTTTGTGTACATACGAGACTTTTCATTAACAAACACCGAAAATCAAACAATTTACCGAGTCCTATCCAACTGAAAAGACACTCAAGTATAAGTTTTAATAACAAAGAATATTCATTGAAGATGTCTGATCCTAACATATTTATCGAATTACCGACTTACGTCATTTCTGGAGTCATTAACATTTAGATTGGACCTAGTAGGTAGGTTCAGAATATCCTTTTGGTGTCCGAGCGGTTATTATGAATCAATGGTTGGAGACGTTGGGTGATATGGTTTAGAATCAGTTGTAGTAGCGCAGATGCATTCACTCTTCGTATTCTCTTAGATCCTGAGTCTTGAAAGTTTATATATTTTTTAAAATGTTTATGTCTAATCGTTTCTACTACTACAACTGATGTTGGAACTACTTCTCCTACTCTTGGATTTCTTTTAATAATCTCGCTGAGCTAATAAGGTGTAGCAACTTGAACTGACCACGTCTGTTCCTGGTTCTACATTTCTTACGACTGAATTGAACTGTCTAACCAGAAAAGTATTCAAATGCCTATTACGATTTGAGTACATATAGCAACAGGATAAAAAATAAATCGGTAAAAATGTGGTTCACTGACCTTGTATGACTGTAAATTTTGCCTCGAGCTATAAATTTATTATAAAAGTTAATAAAACTACTCGACCACAAACCAAAGTAGGTAGAGTAGAACGGGATTTTAAATATCATCATGTAGTAGAAAGTTAAATGTTTTGATTATTACTTAGCCATTATGCAACAATAAATTTAATCCTTCAATACGCTAGTAAAACAAATGTGTTAAAGGTACATAAAGTGAAACGCTGTACGTATTTTACCATCAGCTTTTTGTGTTATGGAAAAAGCAATCAAGTGACACTGACGCAAGGGACTTTGAGTAAAAGAAAGTCCGAGTATGAACTTTTATCTTTTGGATTAGCTGATATCTATATTTTATATATTAAATCATTAACAATCATTACAAGGTGCTAGTTGAATGAAGAAGAGTACATAAGTCAGCTTAGAATATTGCATTTTACTAGCCTTTTTAGTTCGATTTCGAGTTAGAAACTAAATATATCGTGTCTTAAGGATCGTCTCAGACATTTTATTTTATTAATCTACTAAATCTCCCTGTATGTAAAACAGGTTATAATTCCAATTTTAACTTGGTCTCACCATTGTAAGCTGTAGATTGTTTTGATCAATACCGCGACAAATACGCTATGCATATGTACCTTGACCAGAAAGTTGCTAAATTACAGGTGTTGCTTCATCTTTCACCTTTGAACATCTACAATATTTTTATGAAAAGCTTTCTATTTTTCTATATTCATAAATGTGTCATATTTAGAAATAGTGAACTCAACATCTACTAGACACATTTTTATAATACATTAACACTATCAATTTCAATAGTCTAATAATTAGTATTAACAAGGTTTTTAAGATAAAAACTGGTATTTTTTTCAGATAACATGTAGGAAGACTAAGAAACACATGCCAAGAGCACGCGGCTTTACAATTTATATGAATTCATATTGTATAAATTCAATAGTTTTTACAAGTATTTAGGACATTGGTGCAGTCAACAGTAACGATATATCGTGTGCAGTACAATGGATATTAAGACTCAAAACATTCAGACCTTATTTTGTACATAAGTGCGTCCCATCTTTTGCAACAAGGATTTCTAGGTTTTGCCTGTTTTAGTGACTTATATTATCCCAGATCTCCAAAGACAACAAAAGTGGCCATTAAGTGTTGATCGGACTCCAAATGTCTATGAAGTACTTTCACTTATTGTTTTCTCACCCTTAGAAATAGATTTTTTCCGCTAACCCCTGGTAAGTAATCCTTTCCTATTTGCTTAACTCTCTTGAGCCTCATGGTAAGTATTTTTGATTTCAATAATAGGTTTTAAGCAATACTTTAACATAAGAGGAAGGAACGCTATCCAAATACTCAAATGAAAGTAGATGAAACCGTGTTCAAATCGCCTGTTAAAAATTGAATGCTTAAAATATCAAGTGTAATAAGTCGAACTAGCGTATAATAATAATCGCTTACAGCCGAAACAAGCATTTATTTAATCCAAATAATATTTCGCAAAAACAATTTGGCTTCATTACCTTTTAATTGTGCTTAACTTCTTTCAATTAGATAAACAATATACACATAAATATTGCTTGAAATACTAAACTTTCATTTCAGTGAATACATAAAAACACAATTAACTTTAAGAATTAGCTATCCGTTTTACTAACTAAAAGAGCATTTATATGCAAAATGAACTCACAGATAGCAATAATTCTTTGAATCGCGTCTTCTTAATTATTGTTAATAAACCCCGTTGACCAGCTTTGTAGGCACGAATAAATGCACCAAGATATGGAGTGGAAATGTACCAACTGTTCTCGGATTTGATGGTTAAAGCTCCATTTTGTATTAGAATGCTTATCTCATTATCCGAAAAATTCTCTGATGCAACACGTTTACATAAGCTTAAATAATGATACTTTTGACTAGTGAATTCCGCAAATCGTTCTGAAAACTTAGGAATAATATAATTATAACTAAACCTAAAATCTTTGACTCATCAATAGAAAAGTCTCTGAAAGAATTTACAAAATCATCAGATTTCATTATACCAACGGAATCATCGATTTGGTCGTCAATGTTTAATAAACGTATTCTCTGAGATGTCTGCATATCTGACTAAAATAGTGAGCATTAGAAATGATTAAAACACGACAAACCAGTTGCGATTCTACTTTGTTCCGATTATTTACAAGAGTGTATAACTGTGACTTCAAAACGATTGGGCGGCCAAGATTTTTTGAGTTCATAGAAGGATATAGACTAAACAGATATTCAAGAGCATCACATACTGTTTCTAAAATAAGAATATTTACTAATAAAACAAGTTTACTAACTCATTTCAGGTATACTGGATACCTTCATAACTTTTTGGGGGCTGGTAACACCATCATCAGATAGCTTACGCTTCATGAGGAACTACAAGAACAGTTAATACAACAAACATTTGCAGAAATCATTTGATATTAGATGCCAAAACAAACAGCTTGAACTTGATAGTTTTTGTTCGAAATCCGTGATAGTTTTAAACCAATTATGCTCAGTCCAAACATAATATATTCAAAATACTAAGCCATGACTTCAGTTTGTGCACAGTTACAAAGCAAAATCATGTAAACAAGTGTAGCAACGTTGAGCGAATCGAGAATCTCACTTATGTCAGGAGTCCCGTCAGTCCTGGTTGGTGTTTGACCAAAACTAAGTGCAGACCTAAGTTTATTTGCCCTTGCCAACTTGCATGTTCTGGGGATTAGGCGCTATGTCCGTCTATCAACTAAAGAACCAGTGTATAACATAGTTCGTTCTGTTCTACTGCATGGCTGTGAAACATATCAATTACGAATAGAGGATAATAATAGGTTAGGTTATTTGATCATAGATGCCTTCGAAGTGTTACTCGTGTATGTTAGGACCATCAAGTGAACAATATTGGAGTCCGGTAGGCTACTGGGAAAAGATGGTAGACAGACTGATGAGATAGCGAATATTCATCAACTGAGGTGCCTGGGATAAGCACTACATAGTACAAGCTACCGATTACCTAGATGTGCGATATTGCCTAGTGCAAGAGTTAGCTGGAAGAAAACCGATAGGAACCAAACCAAGAGATGATATCAGTTCATGAAGCCACCGATCCTTGAGCTGATAAATAGGAATTTGTGTAGACCGTCTGGTTGTGATCCACGTAACAAGAGCAATCACTGCAGTGATCTTGAGTGCTGTCGGAGGTATGAGGGCATTTAACACTTCCCGGTATCCCATACCGTGGAAAATTTTTCTGGAGGTACTTGAAAAGGAAATTGGGCTAGGGGTGGTCTTAGTGATCTGAGAGCGTGACCGCAGTGCCCAAGGGACAACTGCTTGGGGTCGGTCGCACACGACCTCTTTGTTAGTTATTTTCGTGTAAGCTCCATACTTGTTGAGACCTTAACGCCGGAGACAGATATCCGTGGGATAAGGCGAGGTGTGCATTTTTAGGGTCGACCTTTTCTAACCCCACCCCTCCTTGAGGGAAGGCATCACCGCTTTTATACTAGTTGCCTGAAGGAAACACCTTGCTGCCGTCACACCTCTGTACAGTCAGCAGTACGACTTCGCATTAAGGCCTTGGGTTTGCCGCTTTTAGTCTCACCGCTCTTCAACCGACCTATCTGACATGATAGGACCTTGAAGAACGACTGTTGCAGCCAGTATAGCTCGATTGGTTCGTCAGGATAGGCGAGTTCGACTACGACGTCAAGGTAGCAGCAACGGTCGGGAATCACTGCAATACCGGACCATTTTAAACCAAAGGCAATGCTGTTTTTCAGTCGATATGATTAAAACAGCTCCAAATACTGCTTACGGTGATTTCGGCTACCAGCAAATGAATGATTTATGTTCATCTTCGTCAGTAAGGTGTCAACTTCCATTGAAGTCATGGATCGATCAATGTTAGATCACCATTAAAAACCTGGAAGCGCTGGACGGCAATTTCGTCTGAGTATCGGACTTCTCAGCAGTGCGCATCCACGACTCTGCACAGCACATAAATTGTGAGGCCACTGAATTATTCATTTGCAGCAAGTCAACCAATTTTCTTATTTGGATTTTAATCTCAACAGACTGGTCGATCAATGCAGATGTATCGATCGAAGACGAATGGGATAAGTTTAAAGCTACATTCTAATTCGTAACATCACCGTATATCCTATGGTAAATAGGTAGGCTATCACATTGCCCTCCATGGATGGACAATGAAAGCTGCTGAGGCGTCGGAAACACTTCTAAAACTTATTCTTGTCAACAGGCCACAAATCATTTAAGTGTGGATACCGAAATATATGTAAAAAGGCATAGCTAGATGCCGTACCATTTATGAGTGACAGTTGACAAATGATAGCTATACCTGTCCATAACGCTTGTTTTCGTGCATTAAACGAAGAAAAAACGTAGTGACGGTATTCCTCCATTACCGTTGCACGAAAATTCAGATATACTAGCTGGGTCAAATCTGAGACTCATATTATTTCAGCAAAGTCTATTGTACGAGCATTGTTAACAATACCCCTTGCGGACAATATTTCAGGGCCAAACAAGATGCTCTTCAACATCTTCCTTTCCCACGCTCAACTCCTTAGGGATTGGAAAGATGCTATAGTTGGTCCTGTATTTAAAGATGGTCAGAGATAGACCGTGTGTCTATGGCTGCCTAACTGTTTTTCTAGTTGTATATTTCAGTAACAACTAGGAAAACAGTTAGGAAGCCATGTAAGTGATGCCCACCCTGAGGCAGCATGGAATGATATCCGAAAAGCTGTGGAACCAGCAGTGATATCTGCCAGTAAGGTAACCCGTAAGGTTAGGGAGAAACACTGGATCTTAGCAGCATCTATCTCACTGATAGATGCTCGGAAACTCATTCCGCCTGGCTCTGAACATAATGAAGAGCGGAGTCAGCTTAAGCGCAAGCTGACAAGAAGTCTACGCAATGATCGTGAACAGTGGTGGGTAGCGAAAGCAAGAGAGATGGAAAAGGCAGCGGCAATAGGTAATAGCAGACAATTGTTCAGACTTGTTAAGGAAACCGGTATTAGGAAACCGAGTGTTAGCGAAACAATCTCAGAGAAAGATGGACATATTATACATTCTCAATCCAGGAGATTGGATCGATGGGCAGAACACTTTAGGGATCAGTTCAACTGGCCTTCAGCCACACTTCGGTTTTCCACGATCTCCAGTCAACCTGAACGGCAAGTTAATTTAGGTCCTCCGTCTCTTTACGAAGTTGAAAAAGCCATAGGAAATCTGAAGCGAGGGAGAGCAGCAGGCCCTGACAGGTTTACTCCTGAGATTTTTAAGGATGGTGGTTTAGTATTAGCAGTGAGATTAACTGAGGTCTTAGGTAGAATTTGGGAACTGGACGTAATCCCATCTGACTGGTCTCAATCACTGATTGTGCCAGTCTATAAGAAAGGACAAAAGTCCTCTTGTGACAATCACAGAGGAATCAGTTTGACTAATATAGTGTCTAAAGTATTAGCTTCAATAATACTTCGACGCCTAACCAAAGCTCGTGAAGAGCAGACAAGAGAAAATCAGGCTGGTTTTCGACCTGGACGTGGTTGTATAGACCCGATATTCACACTACGTCAGGTTCTAGAACATAGACATACGTTCAGATGCCACACAATCGTAGTATTTCTCGACCTTAAGGCAGCATTCGACTCTGTTGATCGTGATGTTTTGTGGCAGTGTTTGTCACTGAAAGGAGTACCAAACAAGTACATTAACCTTGTAAAGGCTCTCTACTCGAACACAACTGGTCGAGTGAGAGCTTATGGCGAACTGTTATCAGAATTGATTACCTCAAGTGGTGTTCGTCAAGGCTGTCCACTCTCTCCATTCTTGTTCAACTTTGCCATTGACGTACTTTTAGAGATAACACTTTCCTCATCTAAATTTACAGGGGTTGAACTTCTACCAAGAGGTTCACTTGTTGACTTAGAATTCGCTGATGACATAGTTCTGTTTGGTGAAGACGCTGACAAAATGATAGGGAGTGAAGTAGTTGAGCGTGTCGACTGCTTCACTTATCTTGGAAGTCTGATCAGCCCTTGTGGTCTGGTATGTGACGAAATCTCAGCACGGATACAGAAGGCTCGACTAGCTTTTACCAACTTGCGTCATTCATGGCGTAGGTGGGATATCCGTCTATCAACCAAAGGACGGGTTTACTGTGCAGCAGTTCGTTCCGTCCTACTTTATGGCAGTGAAACATGGCCGCTAAGAATTGAGGATATCCGTAGGTTACTAGTATTTGATCATAGGTGTCTTCGAAACGTTGCTCGTATATCCTGGGACCATCGAGTAAGTAATGCAGTTTTTAGGAAACGCGTATTATTTAAGGATGGCAAATCAATTGATAACGTAGTGAAACTTCATCAGTTAAGATGGCTTGGACATGTGTTACGTATGCCCAACGACCGACTGCCTCGATGTGCGATGTTCAGTGGTATAGGAGTAGGTTGGAAGAAAGCTAGGGGCGGCCAGACCAAGCGTTCTTCGTAAGGGAGTTTGGGAAGACCCTTCACTAATTTTTTTTCCTACACGCTGAACACGTTCAAATAAGTTAGTATCCTTAATGAGACATGGACCGGCATCTTTGATACAGTACCCTTGGTGTGGTACGGCAGAGTGGGGAGAGTCCGCTCTTCCTCTCGAAATACTCTCCCACGGCCACGCGTATACAGCCTCTACCAGGGAAGTCCTACTCATTGCCTTCTCATGGCGGGGATGTTGTTTACGAAAATGAGAGGACGAAAAGCGAATGTCCGGCGCTTTAACGGGACCCCAAACCAATGGTGCACATGGGCTCCAGTATCCTGCGGGAACAAATGGCGTATGAACCAATAGTTGGTCACCGGCTACCATGGGACTGTATCTCCTTACGATGCTCCACTGCCTTGTGGGTTAGACCTTTAGGTCAAAGGCTCGTGGTGTGGCCCCCTAAGATAACCACCTGCTTCGGTCTGAGCACCTGGGCAGTATTCACCCTCTTTTATGCTTATACAGCGGCTCGTCTTTGGTGGAAATTCGACTGTATCTAAACGTTCTCGAGTCACTGTCCGGTTGAAAATTGTATGTTACCACCGAATATGAGTACTGAAGCAGTTTTTCTGAAACCACGTGCACCATTCAAACTGGCTGCCTTCAACGTTCGCACATTTATGCAGGTCGGACAACAGATAGGGCTGGCTATGTCTTTGGAAAGTCTTAATATCGATGTTGTTGTCTATCCGAGACCCGTATTCAAGACTCTGGCGAAGTACTACAAATTCGATCTCCATCTGTCGCTTCGAAAAGCTTGTTTTACGTGCGCTTATCCGGGGACCCTGTGGCATCTTCGTCTGGTCTTGCTGGCGTTGGTGTCGCACTAA